AAAAAAATCTTCCAAAATTGCACACCCTGACATGACTGACCATTGTTAACATTCATAAGTTTTTCAATTTTTTTCTTTTTTTTCCTGTTTTCCTTTTATCAAAATTAGGATCATAGTCCATGTATATACATCCTGATTTTTTTTTCCACTAACAAATTTTGAACATTTCCCTATGGCAAAAGAATTTCTTTTCTTTCTTTCTTTTTAAGATTTTAAATTTATTTGATTTGCATGTGACAGAGATTCAGCTAAACTTTGTTCATTGGGCTAGCAGTATGCTTTTTGTACCTGTAACACTTAGATTCTGATATACAAAATTGTAGTAACATATTGATAATTCAAACTTGAGAGCTAAATAGTACATTCTTTTTACTCTGTGCAAAATAAATTCTACCTTTAAAAAATAGCATTTATAATATTAAAATTCATATTGTCCATATGGTTTTGTGATCAAGTTACTAAAATGTTTTGTCACTGTGAATCATTTGGGTTAGTACAAATATGACAGGATTGTTAAAGGCTGCCTATAAATACATAACACTAAGGCTGATTTTTAAAGTGTGGAAAAGGATTATATTAAAATAAGTTTATCTCTCATGTAAGAAATGAACAAATTTTGTAAAATAAAACTGAAAACTTCTTGGTCACAACTGTTAACTACCAGCCTGAGACATATTTTTTTCTTTTATACTTATCTGAAACTTTTTGTATCACAAAAAATTAACAACTAATCTGAAGAAGATTTATGAAGCTGTAAATATTCCAATATAGCCTCTTCTATGTCAAACATTTAAAATGGCCAGAAGTGAACTATATATTAAACAGAACATAAATAAGACCTTAAATAAATAAATGAAGAAAAGACTGTCTTTAAAAACATAGTATCACATCACAATTATACTATGTAATTTATTTAGCTGTTTTCCTGGTGGTGAGCAGGTCAATTGTGTCTACTTTTTTGCTATACTAAATAACTCCCTTCTTCATGGACAATAGTCCACACTTAATTCTACCCTCTTCTAAGCACTTCATATATTAATCCTCACTTAATCCTCACAAGGGGATAAATGTACTTTTCATATCCCTAGTTTATAGATGAGAGAGGTAAAGCAATTTGGACAAGTAATTTAATAGGAAATGATAGAGTCAACCAAATCTTTGTTGGCTTTGGGAAAACTGGGTCAAAAATATATAGACACGAAGGAGATAGTAAAATATATATATTATATATTGTATATATATGATATGTATATGATGTAAATATATGTATAATTGTTTTATAAAAAGGTGTGGCTCTCCCTTTATTCCCACAAAGAGTCTAAACTTCAGATGGGAAATGCGTTTATAGCCTAGTCAGCAAATATCGACTGGTGGCTGTTTTCTCAAGGGTTTTGATATAAGAGCGACTGATTGGCTGGAAGGTACTTCTGAGGATCAGCTTCTCCAGCACCTTAATACAGAGAGTCTGAGACCACTATGAAGTGTAGTTCTGGGTCCCAGAGCTGTGCTGCTTCATTTTTTAGTGAATTGCATTTTATAACGTTGCTGCCTGGGCTCTGCTTTATTTCTGGAACCAGTGGGTTTGATGGAGTCAAGCATCTTCCCTGCACCAGCACCCCCTCCTTAAGTAGCTTCATTGTTTGGCAAATGCAGTGAGTATCAGAGGGTCTATGCAGATCCATTGGAAGGAATAAAACTTGCAGATCTTTGGGTAAAATGAACACTAAAGCTCTTTCTATTCCTACGTCTTCTGAGTCCTTTGGTAGCTTGATTCATAGTTTCCTTGGGTTGTTTGGTTACTCCCCCTTCATAAAACACTCCAGGCCTTTAGGACAGAGGGGACTTATTCCGTTTTACAAAAAATGATTTCTCTGAGAATCCTGCCCCATACCATGTGGTCTAAGACAGACTATGGTATGCCTGTAACCATAAACTCCTACCTCTCCATACCTAACAGCTGCTTGACGCAAAGGAAAAGAATCCTGTTTGTGAAGCAAGTTCATTGCTATGGAAAAAATCAGGGTTGGGGGAGGCACCTCATGCTTCCATAAGGCTAGCATGAGAGCAGGTAAAGAATTGTGAGGGTATGGACTGCTCGGGGTACATTCTGAGACTCGGAGCAGTGGCATGGAGAGGTGTTGAGAGTCAGGGTGTATAAATGGGGAGCCCCCTGAGGGGGCAGTCCAAAGGGCCCATCCATGGGTAAGTGGAGGGCCAGGGGAGAGAGAGAAGGCTCCTGGGACAGTCCCTGGTTTCCCTTATTATTTGGCCCAGGATAGAGACTATTTGTCTATAGCTACAGAACAAAACAGAACGGAATAGAGACTTTGATCCAATGGGAAGATTTCACAATCATTCGTGTTTTTTTTTTTCTTTCTTGCTGTTTGCTTTTACATAATAACAAATCTGTTTATGTCTGTAAAGGATTAGCCTCGGACCCTGCTTCTGGAGCAAAACTCAAACAAGGATTTACTAAATCTTCTAAAAAAGATTAACTCCTAGAGGCCAGGTAAGAAAAACAAACACACTCTAATCCAGGTGCTGGTGGTCATCTAATGTGCAAGGTACAGGGAATGAATGAGCCTTTAAGGGAAGAACCCTCTAGCAGGCAAACCCAAGAGAAATATGGGCTAGGCTAGGTTAATGAAATATGCTCTGGAACAGCGGTTCTCAACCTGTGGGTCGCGACCCCTTTGGGGTCGAACGACCCTTTCACAGGGATCGCCTAAGACCATCGGAAAACACATATATAATTACATATTGTTTACAGTAGCAAAATTACAGTTATGAAGTAGCAACGAAAATAATTTTATGGTTGGAGGTCACCACAACATGAGGAACTGTATTAAAGGGTCGCGGCATTAGGAAGGTTGAGAACTACTGCTCTAGAAACTTTTTTGTTAAACCCTGAGTTGGAAAATGACACTCCATTTGCTTGTGGACTTAACAGGAGAGGGGAATGGGTTCTTTATGTTGACCTGGAAGGCTACTGCCCGGTCCCTCTTTCTAAACACATTGCCCCCCCAAAACACAGTTCCTGAGATTGACACGGAGTAGAATTGGTATGAAGTTGGGGACATTTTTTATCTTGTGAATTGTTTAAGACATTTAAACATGTAGAGAAGCTTATATTAAGTATTTAACATTCTCAGTGTGACAACAACCAAGTTCTAGTAAATGCCTTTTCTTTCTGCTTTCAGACTGGCTCCCTACAGCTCATCAGCCTGGATGGCTGTGAGCCCAACAATGTCACCAGAAAGGAAGGAGCAGATGTCTGCTTCAATGCCTGATTCCTCTCGAGACATCATGCAGGACATGTAAAACTAGCTTCAAATTTTCTTATTTCCTCCCTTCAAAATATTCAAAACCAAATCATTAAACAAGGCATTCATCTGTACGATAATGCTTAATTTGGAGATTTACTTGAAGCATTTTTTTAATGGGATATTTAATAGTCTTTTTCAAAAACATTGCTTTGATATTAGAAATGTTTAGTAAAACAGTCTATGGAGTCTAGCATTACTTACTTACTAGGAAAAGCGTTTTTTACCCAGCTCATTCTACACAATAGTCGTGAAATCCCCTCTGTGATATTTTCTTCTGATAAGCATGAAATTATAAAAAGTAACAACTCCTGCTTTAAGTACCCATCTGTATACCACGTGGAACTGTCTCCAATACCAGTGCACACAGTTGGTTTTGGGGAAACACTGCAGTGGAACAGGTTATAATAACCTTCCCACCCAGTGGGAAGGATGCTCTATGCAGCCTCAAACCATTTATTTATCTCTGACAAATCAGGCACCAACTTTTCATCTCACCATTGGTTGATAAACTGTGGGGAGGTGGTCTTGCAGCTATTTTTCTTTGTCACCTTAGGGATTAACAAATTCTTTTTGTAGAGTCATTTATACTTAATTCATGCTTCTTAATCTAATGATTTTTATGTTTTCTTCAACTCAGGGAATTGTAATTAGGAATTAAAAGCCATTTTCCTGTCTAAATTTAAGTAGAACCCCAAACTACTCCCTCTTTAATGCAGCAAACACAACATCTGAAACGCTTTGGGTATCTGGGGATCACATCCTAAGTTTTATGCTCAGGGAAGTCAGGTGTATGTCCTGGAACTGACTGAAGACTACTAGGCCATGAGTCTGGAGAGGGTGTAGCCCAGGTAAGCCACTCCTCTCTCTCCTTTTTCTGGGAGATTGCTTTCCTCACAGAGATAAGAGGGGCTATGGGAGCTGACTCAGACATCCCAGAACGTGCATTCCACTGATGAGGTAACCTCATCTCCTCCCCCCAGATTAAGCTGTAGTTTAAGACTCTACCAAGTTGTATCCACAGTGACAGCCCCACCCCAGGCAGCTTTCCTGAAATGCCTTGGCCCTTTGCTGTCATGGGCCCCACTGGTAAGGGCTAGGAGCCAAGGTTTCTCCCATTTGGCTGCCAGGCTTCTTTGATGGGCAAAGGAACTCGAGGCGTCCCTTTCTCTGCCTACCCCCTCACCCCCACCCCTTATTTAGAGGTAAAACAAACACAAATAAATAAGCGTGTCAGATTTCCAAGTGGGGAATAGTTTGTGAAGGAATCCCACTAAGGAATACATTTCTAGTTCATGCTAGAAAGTAACGGCAAACGCCACTGTAAAACTGGCCCAATAGACTGAACTTCAGTAACTAGTATTCTGACCTATACCAGTATATCAGAAATAAATTCTAAATATAGAAGGATTCAGAATTTTATATAGTAATTTTTAGAGATAAGTTTTTAGTGTTGTGAATTTAAGTGAAGCACACAAGCTTCTACCTTAAATCATAATTTTACTCAAAGTTGGTTTCTAGTAGATGCTAAATAGAGGTCAGACTACTAGTTTCTGTGGGGAAAGTAATGGCCAGGAGGGGGCATGAGGGAGCCAGCTACTGAGCTGTTCATGTTTTTGTGTCTAGATCAGGATGGTTAGGCTGTGTAGCTGTAAGTAAAAATCAAACAAGCCATCGTCAGAATTTGCAGAGTTTATTAAATGTAAGATATATTTTCATATAGGAAGCCTCTAAAGACAAAAGACAAAGGAATTTTAAAAAAAGATTAGGTTTCATATTCTTAAAACTCATTAGATACAAATTTGAGATTACAGTTACACTGAAAAATGTTATTCTTTCTGAGTAAAACTAATATTGAATTACATGATAAAATTTAAAATGCATTTATTTATTGGTGATTAAAATATACTTAAGCAGAGTAGTACTTTAAGCCAGACAAAGCAAAGAAAAAAAAATCTTGTTTAATATATATATATTTTAAATTCCAGTAATATTTCTTAAATTCCTGTTAAAATATAATCAATATTAAAGTCAGCAAAATACTATTTTTGACTGACACTTGGATTATTTTATCACTTAACCTGGTTACACAGTGATTTTTTTTCTGTCAGATGTAACTGACAACCAGTTTAGTCTTTAAGATAAATGAAGTGATAACTCGCATTGTAGCATCTTGTGGAAAATATTCAAACTACATTTAAAATGCTTGTTTAAAATGGAAACATCTATTATTCCACAAGAAATTGTTTCTGTAAAACTACAGGTTGGCTATGCAATAGTAACTACACTACATCCAACTAAAGGTAGAAGAATTCTGGAGAAAAAAAATACAAAGTCTACTTATAATATGCAATATAAAGGTTACTTTTATAAAGGTATACTTAAAAAGAAAAGAAAAAAAAACTCCCATTTTGGAGAAATCCAAACCTTCCCATAGTTCCCTCCTTAGGCCGTGCTACATAAAGATGACAAACTCAGGTGATGTTATTTAGCTAACATCATTATGATCATGGCTTACGATTAAACTCAATTTGACAACTATATATAGCAGCCCTCGTCTGGATGTCGGTTATAACAATAGATAGTTGCAGTTCCATTAAAGAATACTTGGTGATTACATTTGGTACAAAGCATGAACAAATCATCAACACTCAGGACAGATTGGCACGATGCATGCAGTTCTAGAACTCTTATCTCAAGCCAGTCGTAACTGAGTAAGCCATATCCCCAATCCTGCTTTCCAAATCTTTCCTTGTATTACAACTGACATTTAAAATGCTTCATAAAACTTTAAAATGCTCCTTAAAACCTCTCCCAGAATAAGAAAAGTATGCTTTATAAGCCACTTATCTGAATGCATGATGGAAATGAGGCAGGATGGCAGTGCCAGTGCCTGCTGGGAAAACGTGGGGGAGGGGAGGAAGGTGGAGCTGGCCCAGGCTCATGGCCAGTGAGGGCTCTTGCTGCTGCTGCCCCAGACAGCTGAGCCTATGGGGCAGAGGCTCCCCTGGCCCCAGGGCGAGGGTACTATTCCCAAAGGCATTTTGGGTAGGAGGAGGGGGCAGCTGCCAGAAGCCCAACAGAGGGGAAATTTCCAGAGAGGCAGGTATTGTTATGTTCACAGCATCGATGGGGAGCTCTCTGGGCAGGTTTACTTTACCAGCGCCACCCTTAGCCAGATCAAAACCTGGGTTGAGCCTGTGTGGTGACTGAGGCTCTTGCAGAGGCAATTCCTCGAGCAAATTGAAGTTGCAAAACCCTTTAGTATCTGTTTTGAGCGGCAGGTTTGCAAGTGGGGGATATGAGGTAGCAGTGGTGTACTTGTGATTCTGGAGGGGCTGAGGGGGAGAGCTGGGAGGTGCCATGGGCGGCAGGGGGATCAGGGGCTCTGGCAGCGGTGGTACAGGCTGGCAGGGTGGCTCTATGGGATTGAGGGTGTGCACCTCAGGTGGCAAGCCACTGGCGAGCCCATTCTGCACAGAGGCTCCTAGAGCGTAAGGAGCCAGAGTGGCAGCCTTCAGCTGAAACTGAGGAGAGAGAGAGTGGAAGGCATTCAGGAAATCTCCAGCCTGCAAACTCTCTTTCATCAGCTCCTGTAAGTGTGTCTTCTTGGTATGGCGTGTGAGGTGGTCTTTGCGCCCAAATCTCTGGGCACAAAACTGGCACAGGAAGTCCTTACAGCCTGTGTGGACCACCATGTGGCGCCGCACATCTTTCCGGGTGTAGAATAATCTCTCGCAGTGGTCGCACCGGTGCTTCTTCTGCTTGTTCCCGTGGGGCTTGTCGTCGGCGTGGGATTTGAGGTGGATCAGCAGCACCTCTGTGCTCCTGAGCACCAGGGCACACACCCCACAGGTGAGGTCGCCGCTGTTGGCCTTGTGGAGGGCCAGGTGCCTCTTGTAGCCCAGCATGGTGTGGTACTTCTTCCCACACTGCTCACACACAAAGGACACCTTGTTGGGGTCATGGGTTTGGAGGTGGTTCTTCAGGTGGTCTTTGCGGTTGAACGTCTTCTCACATTGACCACACTGGTGAGATTTCTGGGGTGAGTGGGTAGCCATGTGTCTAGGAGCAGAAGGCAGAATTTCACAATTGACCCAGATTTTTAAGAGCCGAAGAAAGGTAGAGAAACAATATTAAAATGGTAACAATAGTTTTCTCTAGGTGGTGGTTTAAGAAATCATTTTCAGTTTTAAAGTCCTTTTCTATATTTTCCAGACTCTATACATAAATAAGACTTAATAATAAAAAAACAGGTGCTGCTAGGGACAGAATGCAATTTTCACACCTGTAAGGAATATGATTGGAGTACACATTTTCCTAGTGTATACAAAGAGATTGCTAAACGCAGACAGGTATTTAAAAATATATGATCATGAAAACTATTTTTCAGGACTGGGTTAAATGGTTGTTCTATACACTGAACATTCCTGAATTTCCAAAAGTGACTCAATAGCCCCCAGTCCCCATTTTAGATTATTGTTTCTAATACAATTCCAGCTCATCTGTATTGATTGAGACAAGTTCAGGACATAAACTAAAAAGTCTATCCTTAACTTCAGAGACAGCATCTAACTGTACCCTGTACCCAGAATGCCAGCCCTAGCAACTGGGCTCCGAACCCCGCTCCTCCCATGCGATCTTCATGCTTACGTCTTCGTCTTCTCCATTTAATACTTTCCTACCAGCTATTCCCCCCCCCCCCCCGGCCCTGCTGTGTGTGGCCCCTTGTCTCCACTTCCTCAAGGTCCTGGGTAAAGCCCTTCAACCAAGTTCCTGAAGGTCACTGGTGATTTCACTGGCAACGTTCATTCACAAGGGCTTTCTCTAGAAGGACCATGGTGCTGCTACTAGCAGCAGTTACAAGTGTTTCTTTAACTGAGCTTCAGGGGAAGCCATAGTCATCCTGGTCAACCTGGAATTTCAAAACAGCTAGTTTATATTTGTATTTCTAAAGCACAAGTTAGGTTTGGAAAACCACAATTCCATTTCTATCATTGTTCGACTGAATTCCTAAAATCTGAAAACTTAATGCTATAAGGCAGTGGTTCTCAACCTTCTGGCCCTTTAAATACAGTTCCTCATGTTGTGACCCAACCATAAAAGTATTTTCGTTACTACTTCATAACTGTAATGTTGCTACTGTTATGAATCATAATGTAAATATCTGATATGCAGGATGGTCTTAGGCGACCCCTGTGAAAGGGTCGTTTGACCGCCAAAGGGGTCGCGACCCACAGGTTGAGAACCACTGCTATTAGGGAACCCTGAGTTTGTCATCTTTAAAAAGGTTCATTTTAATAACTGTGTCATACAAAACAGCAAGTCCTGTATGTTAGTATTTCTTACAAGACAGCACCATAAACAACTGGTGGCTGCAAACACAGCCTAGGCTGCTTCAGCTCCCTTTGACAGTTAACTCTCTCAGGTGTTTTGTCTTCAGGAGCTAAAGCTTGTCCTACTGACAATTTCAATGCCATTGAGCTTGTTGATTTTGGAGTTTCTAACAACTCATTCTATGAAAAAAGATAGAATTTCTTTAAAAAACAACACAGTGCAAGTCAGAAGTGTACCCAACCTTCTACTCTACATTGTCCACTCCTGACCCTACCGTAGGAGGAGAACCTGTAAGGGGTCTACAGTAGCTGTTGAGAAACCAGTGGTGTCCCTACTGGCAGGAAGACTGGAAGCCAGTTCAAAATCTTAAAGCTGATCAGAATCTAATTGTCATTTTCTTAAATATAAAAAAACACTTTGTAATACTTTAAGCAATAAAAATATATATATATAAGCAAAAACCTCAAGTCCTCTTCCCGTCTCCCTTAAGAACAGTAGCCTGCTCTGTGCAGGGGCTAGAAAGAAAAGTTGCACCTTCCCTCCAGGACATAAGGGCTCTGCAAACAGGCAGGTATGAACAGTGCTGATTACAGGAGCCAGTGCAACAGGGAGTTGAGAGTCCTGAAATGATGCTGATGTCTGCAATTTCCAGATGTATTTAAAAACATTTGCAGGTTGCAGAAAGGGTTTTTTGAGTCTGTTATCTCTAGAAAATAGCCACGTCCTTACACAAAATATCCACAGATAAAGCAGCAGACATAGATGGGAGAGGGGACTGGCTGACAAACTTGGCACTGAAGCAATTTTCTATTTGGTCCAAAACTAGTGACTTGGACCCCAAGGCTCTGTCCTGGATCTTCCATTCTTGCACCTCTCTGCTTTTTTTCTCTGTGGAGGATTTCTGTCTGATTAGGTTTCATGTATCAGCCAGGGATAACTGCTCTGGGTTCACATCAAGCCATGTAAAGGCATATGACACCACCGTTCCCATTTCACCAGCTTCTGTTCCCCTGAATTTCTCACTCTCTCCTCTGCCTGGCATCCTGTCTTCCCCTTTTAAAGTATCCCTCGCTTACTCATGCAACAGACTCAGCCCAGGACATAATCATCTTACGGCTGAAATTACTTTAACAACTTGCTTCCTTCCCTCAACCTCTCTTCATACCTCACAACCCATGAAACCATACTTGTCTGTCCCCTGGTCAGAGCGCCACAGTGGGGTGGCACCTGGGCCACGTCAGCAGCCTGAGGACTCCTCAGGGAATGCTGCTCTAACGGGTTTCCCCTGCCTCGCGATCACCTCTCTGTGGCTCTCTCCCTCTCACTGCATTCAGTGTTTGCTGTATTGGGACCCATGTCCTCTTTTCTGGCGAAGCAAGTCAGTCATTTTCTCCCTCAACCTCTGCTTATAAAATGGAGCGTATGTTGTAACCGAGGGAAATGGGATGGAATGCTGCCATTGAGATTGAGAGAGAGAGAGAGAGAGAGAGAGAGAGAGAGAGAGAGAGAGAGAGAGAGAGAGAGAGACGCAAAAGCAAACGCTAAGGTACTCTGCTGTCCACCACGTCTCTGTTCCTTTCTCAGCCGTTATTCAGGCCAGAGGCAAGGCATGGGGTGGCTGTGGCGGTGGCCGGGCAGGCGGTTCTTGCACAAAGGACACTGCTTCCCTTCTCCCCCTCACCTCACCCGGCACTGAACAAGCGGGGCTGCCCTTGTTCAGAACTACCACCTCCTAAATGTGGCTAAGACATCCCTTCAGCGCAGTTGACCACAGTCATCCCACCTAATTCCTGTCATTCCCATAAGCTGTGAGCGCCGCTGTCCCCAGGGTGACAGTGCCCTCCTGGTGGCTGGCTGAGCAGGCGCTGCTTTTGCACTCAAGCGGGGATCCTGACTGTGGACACACAAGAAGCCTGTTGCAAAACAGGAAGCCTTTGCAACAAAATAGGTGCACACAGTAAGGCCCTCAGTACGCACATGTACGGCAACTAGAGAGTGGCCTAGGTACTGAGCACATTTGAATTTTTTAAAACTTAAGCATTTATAACCTCATTTTAAAAATCAGCTTATTATATTACATAATCTATAACAGCTGTATTCTTAAGGGCCAGGAACATCATATCTTTTTTTTTTTTTAACTCTTCCAAGATTTACTAATAATGTGGTCCTTGTTTATACCACCCAGATGTAAATCCTCTCTTGCTAAATTCTGACCATCACCTATGTACTCAAATGCAAGTAGTCTGAAAGTTGAAGCTTTCAAGTTCGTTTCATGAAGATTAATGGCACATGTATGTCCCTTAACCAGGTATCAGAAGAAGCATGCGTCTGTGTGCACGCTACCTGCATTGCTCTGAGGGAGCCGTGCGCACAGCAGTCACTGTTAACCAGACTGCCATGTATATTCTGTCTTCTCTATGATACAAGAATCCTTTGGAGGCAGACGCTACATCTCCGATATCCAATCTCCTCCTGGACGTCCCTAAGAAATAACTTAGACTAAATGTACTTGTTTTTTTATGGCATCTGCTGAAACAGTGGTTTCTATCCTTTGCAATATCATGGGTACCTTTGAAAATCTGATTAGTGCACACACTCACCATCTGCATACCTCACACATTTCCAGAGCTTATTAGGGTGGCTTTTAGACCCGAGTGGAGAAACTTCTCCAAAACTTATACTCAGAGGTGTTCCCTCCTCTGCACCCTCACTGTCCAGACCTGGACAAGCCCTCCATATGCCACACCTGGACTATTACAACAGATTTCAAATCCATCTACTTGCCTCTTTTCTATTCTCCAAATGGCTACCAGAACCATCATTCCAGTGTCCTAACCAAATCATGCTCTTCACCGCTTAGACTCATTAGAATAACGCAAATCCTCTCCAGCAGTGGACAGGCCTGCTGGCAGCTGCTTCCTTGCCTCCATTGCGAGCCTCACCCTTTCCTCCTCCAACCCCACCTTCTGGGGAGGTTCTGGGAGCTTTAAGGCCAAGGCTTAGGGCTTTTCCAGAACCTCCTCACTGTCCACCTCCTATTTGTTCTTCAGGCCACAGTTGAGGATTGCACCTTCCTGAGAAGCCTTCCAGCGCGCCCCAGGAGGGGAGAACATCCTCCGCCTGCACAGCTGTCAAAGCGCTCAGGCTGCATTTTAATTCAAGGAGTCTGTGTGCACAACACTCTTCCCAGCCCCAGTCGACTAATCTTTCTGTTCTTAGATGGGGCCTATTCCTGGAGGAGCACAAGACACACTTGTTGAAAGAATGACAGGGCACAGCAAAACTGTCACATGAAACTACAGTCACACCAGAGACACGGCTTCAAGGCTGAAGTGCGCCACATTCTGCGTCCCTTTCCCGTGCAATGTTGGTCTGAGGACTGGCAAAGCCATGTAAAGGCATAAGTAAAAGCACATACCTTGTCTAAAGCTTCTCACCTCATTAGTTTATATCTGGAAACAAAAGCTTTGCCACACTCTGGGTGCAAGCACTTGAAAGGCCGCTCCTTGGAGTGAGTGAAACTGTGGATAGTGAACTTCTCCAGGGTGAGGAACGTCTGGCCACAGACCTGGCAAAGGTAGGCAGCCATGGGTTTTGCTTCTCACACCTTCCTTTTCAGATGCGCTGACCAAATGCTGTACCAGTGAAGCACAAAAGAAAGGTTGGTCCTGAGCCCATGAGCAGAGCCCCCCTGCCCCCCCCCCCCCCCCACTCCAGGCCAGGACACAGGTGGCGTCCTGGGCTTGGTTCTACTCAGACCTGGGTCTCAGGAGCCACTCGCTCTGCTTCCTGCTGTCCCACAGCCTAGTGTGTGTGCAGTCTCAGGCTCAGAGGAGAGAGTCTGGGCACAGATGAGATTCCACGAGTAGAAAGGTAATCTGCAGGCTGTCTGTGGAGAGACAAGAAACCGTTTTCTTGCATTAGCTATTGGAAAACAATGCTTCCCCAATCCCCCACCCCCCCACCCTACCCCACCAGTTCAGAATCAAACTACTGATGCAGCACGATGCCCTGTCCTCCCAGGGCCTTTAAGAGACGCTTCTCTGGAGTGGCGAGGAGTCGAGCACAGTGTTTTGCTGGTGGGTGAAGCACTTTCCTTTGTGAGGGAGATGGCTTTTTCTATAGACTCGGTATTATCTACAGTGGGGCCTTGACTTAGGAGTTTAAGTCCTCCTCAACCCTGAGACCGAGCTTGTTGAGGAGCTCGTTAAGGAGCTCATTAACTCAAATTACTCTGTCAACTCAATACAAAAAATCGGCCGAGAGACAGCTGGTATCTCAAAAACTCGTTAGTTGGGACACTCGTAAGTCAAGGCCCCACTGTACTTCCAACCATGATTTCTGGTCAGTGTGAGGCTCAGCTGACCAATTGAAAAAAAAAATGGTGTTGGAGTGTTTTACTGGTACAGAAACAAGGTCATCCTGCTTATTCAAACTGTGGGCTCTATTCCTCTCCCCTCACTGTCAGCGTAGCATATGTTGTTGATCACACCTGTTTAAACTTCTAGAGGATGAGACGAAATCATTTGTATGCATCCAAGTTCATTTGCTTATAAGGTGACCGTGCAAAAGGACTCGACTCTCGGATGGAAACAAGATGTGAATACAGCGAGTTCAAGTCACTGGTGAGCCTCTGGAGCGGGGACACACTGCTCCCAGGAAACAACACTGAGGATGGTTTGGGGGAAAGCTTGGGCTGCACTGAAATGTGTAGACACCATCCTCTTGTAAGCTGTTTCTACTAGTCTCTCCCCCTTTTTTTACGGGGGCCTTTCCTCATTCCCCAGCCTCATCCCGTTGGTCAGCCACTTCCAGGAGAACCCAAATGATTACCACCCTTCCAACCCAAGCAAAGCACCAAAACCAGGTTCTTCTTTTCCTACCAACTGGTCATCATCTGAGGAGCCCAAGAGCCTGAGACAGTGCCACAAACAACATAGCACAACTCTGGCTACCCAGAGTCCTGGAGAGTAACTCTGGGGAGGGGGATGGGCAGGGGGGAGCAGAGGGGAGACGCTAACCCCTCAAGTGCCAATTAGCTATATGCTGGCATTAAACACCAGAGGAACTTTTGTACCCAGGCCTGCGCTTTCTGTACTTTGTCAAGTAAGCTGAGCACTCATGGCCAATTGACCAATCACTGCAGGTCTTCCAGGAGTCGGTGTCCTGCAGCCATTCATTTACTGCCAAGTCTTTAGAGTTGCTCTGTGTTATAGAAAGTTCATCTTTACCTTTTCAGTTACTTTCTGATCGGAAAGCTAGAGTCTCTAACTAGATGAAACTTTATTGTAACAGTTCGAGCTTCTTTAACTAGATCAGCCCACAGCACATGTTCACAGGCAAAACATACGTTCCTTTTCTAGTGGCCCAAATCGCGGCAAACTCCTGTGTTCCTCATCCACTAGCTCAGATGTTTAGTGTCTGGACCGAGTTCACAGGAGCCGGCACCCGGCTGACACCCTCCCACCCCGCCACACCTGCTAGGAACCCTCAGGACTGACACGCACACTCTGAATCAGAGCTTCGGCACTGAGCCAAAGCCGGCATCTTGGCACCAAATCTTCTTTCTGAGGGCAGCTCGCACACACCTTGCTCCTCTGTGACTCTGTGGTGACTTGCACTGAACCCCTGTCCAAATCCATCTCCCCAACTCCCTGTTCCCTCACAGTAACCCAGTTCATGCCTGAGGCCCTGCTTTGAGGCGTCCCCAACAACCCTGGCCACAAAGTAATTCCTTCCAGGAATCCTACCCTGTGTGGCCGAGTTCTCGCTGCCAGGTCTCATGATGCGTCTACTTTTCCAGCCTAAGTCTGGCTCACACTGGCCCAGCTATAAAAGGCAGAGAGCTGAAATATGCTCAACTCATTCACTCAAAACTGCTCTGGGTTCTTCCCAAGTCTGTCAAAAAGATTAAAATGTGCACACAATACGAAGTGTGAAGTTCATCTTAGCTGAACCCAAAGTAGCACTAGTCACCCAGAAGGAGCTGGTTTGGGGTGAGGATTTCATAATTCTCTCGCCTACCAATCCCCTGCTTATACACACTTTCTTCAGCTTCTCCCCAACTCTAGCTTTATGAAAGATGCCCAGCATGTCCAATAGAACTCTCTGTGATGATAGGAAAGTCACATATATGATGACTACTGAACACTCAAAATGTGACACTGAGAAACGGAAATGTTTAGTTAAGGAGCCACGTGAGGCTGACGGCTGATGGACTGGGCAGCACAGGCTGGCTCTTAGCTTCACCGTCAAAGAGATGACCCTCCGGTGTTCCCCTGAAGCAAAGGAGGAGTTCATGTAGATCTAGTCACGTCCTTTACAAATACAGCAGGAAGATTCCCCATTCAGATTCCAGCTAAGCCACTTGTTAGCTGTGTCCTGAGTTTCAGGTCCCTCATTTGTGATAGCCCCCTGATGCATGGGCCGCCGGGAACAGCCAACTAAAACAAGATGGCTCTGCAAGCACGCTGTGGTCTAAGAACACACTGTACAAATCTACGGGATCCGTGAAGAAACCATCAGCTGGCGCATGGTTCTAACCACCCAGCTATGGATATAATGGGAAAAAGCCATGTTCTCTCCCTACGTATAATTCACCATCCATTATTCCTACTTGGGGGGCTGGTAGTCTGAATAACACATGTGTTATTCAGACTACCAGCTTTCTATACATATAGAAAGGACATATGAGGGTGCAAGTAAAAATTAGCCTGTATTCTTTTGTTTCGCAAAAGATAGCAAGGTTGACTGACTGCTTACCAACATATCAAGAATACAAATGAAAATGTTTTTCTTCATTTAAAAATAAAAAGGTGTCTGCCCTTTGGCATTAATCAAGTTTTCCCAGATCCAATCTCCAGCCACTTCCCTAGATTCAGAAGTCCAACAGTCATGGACATCATTACCTGCATTTCTCTTGGGCCTTCAAAGATGGTAAGTACATAATCAGGGAGTTTCAGACATGGCCACATTTTATTTAAAAGTGAGGCATTTCCTCCAACTCTCTCCCCCATTGAACTCCCTCCCAAAGAACTAGAAAACGTTAAGCCAGTTAAACGTTTTTATCCTTATTTAACTTATCTCATTCCCAAGACGCTTATCTTTCTGAGTTTTAGATCTCTGTGTTAAATACACCTAGCCCCGCGATAGGTGAAAAGTTAGTCCTCAGATGTTGAACTGGATTAATTATATGATAGTAAACATTCTTTAATTTCTTCAGGAAATTATTTTTTGAGGTTGAATTCAAATTCACAGATAGTTATTTCATTCACTGTAGCTGTGTATTTCATTAAATATGGACCTTCAAATATAAACATTTGCACGGTTTTCATGATATAATCACAAACGTCTATAAAAATAATCTTTCCCAACAGACTATAAATTCACTGTGGCCAAGGATCAAAGCTCAGCTATTTTTAAAAAATAAACCTTGAAGATAACACAACATATCCCATCACCACATACTTGACCAGAGCTCTCTGGCTGTTGCTGATTCCAGTCTTTGGTTGAAACCTGATGCGCTTTATGGTCACATCCTTAAAACAGACTTGTGAGTATCTTTCTATTACCTGGCAAACGCCCAACAATCCTGACAGAGAACGACAAAGGGAGGGTCTTGACCATAATTAGTCTGTTCTGAGACTCAACGCACAGATTGCCTGTGAGTCTTCGGTATGGTAATATTTCAACACCTGTCACCATAGAAAGATAGTAAGTCTTCCTCCAAAACATCTCAGGACATAATTTCCAACCCCTTGATTCTAAAAATACGGAGTGATACAGATCTGCCTGTATGCCAAAGAAGGCTTGTGCCATCTGCTTCATTCTGTTCATGCTGATTATTTTAGGGATGAGAGAGGATCAGATTGGAATAAGAACATATATATATATATATATATATGGCAATAGCAAGGAAGGCCTGTGTTCCCTGAGGGCTCATGGTATACGGCAGAGGGAGAGGTCAGAGCACAACTGTAGCTCCGGGGCGTCCTCAGTCATCCCATGGGGGACAAATGTTTTACAACAACCTCAAAATAAACTGTGACTTCTGGCTTCTATTTCCATTGTCCCCACTGACACAATGCAAGGCCTGTTTCTGGGAGGAAACGGAATTGCCATTTTTAGTCTTCCAACTTGAATAGTCTAAGCTTGCTTTTTTTTTTTTTTAACGCCATTCACCAACCATTCCTTGTAGATAAGAAAGTTCTACTCCAAACGTTTCCCTCTTTCATACTCCCCAAACCAGGATTGTTTTATATCAATGTGTTCAGGCTAATTTAAAAAAAGGGCCTCTAATAAGCTTCTGTTTTTTTTCTTAAACAAGAAGCATTGACTTAGATGGAAAAAGAGACCATCCCTCCTTTTGCTATCAATTCAGTTTGACTCTTCACAAAGTCACTGATACTATTTCCTAAACCATGGGACACATATTTTGTGTCTCAGTCACTGCATTTTTTTAGGTTAATAATAAAGATTCTTTCCTGGCCAGGCGGCTCAGTTGGTTGGAGCATTGTTCTGTCCACTGAGGGGTCACGGGTTCCCTGGTTAGGCAAGTTGAGAGGCAGCCGATCAATGTTCCTCTCTCACATCGATGTTTCCCTCTCTCTCCCTCTCCCTTTCTCTCTCTAGAATCAATAATAGTATGTCCTCAGGTGAGGTTTTAAAAAAAAGTTTCTATAATATTCTTTTGAAATTCAAGCAGTAAACCAGTTGTACAAATGTCCTATTAAACATGGATAAAAGTGATAATCTAACAGATCTTATCATGTAAGATAGGCCCACCTTCCCTCAAAATCATTTGTCAGCATCTTTAAAAATATTTTTTATATATTATTCTCCAATAAAGAACTAAGACATTATCATTAAAATCCCCTAACACCTGAGCTG